ATATGGCCATTCCCAGAAGTACTTTTGGGAGATTGGTGATCAGGCAATGTTGGCAAACACTGGGGCATGGGTCTTTCAGTGTCAGAAGTCTCATCGTGTTCACCAGTAGGTCGGCTCTCCATCGTAAATAAAGGGTCTCCAATGGATTTTGATTCCACCATTGTATTATAATTCTGTGGGTCCAGAAATGATTTTTCTTTGCAGCTACTGGCACTGATTTACTAATCATAGTTGAGCACAGAAAATTCAACATCATAAATTCATACGTCTCTATACATAGAATCGTTTGTGCTGAACTACCTAAAATTACTCATTCTTTAAGACTAAATCTTAATCTAAACTCGAAATGCACTTGCTAATATCAAAACAAAAGTTTCCATGTAAGTGAAAATTTATGTTACTGAGAAAAGAGAAAACAGCCAGAGACAAAGGACGAAAGTTTAAACTGTAATCTCTGCGTAGGTTCCTTCAATATTCAGTTGTTTTAATTGTAATTTTTATCTTGTCTCTATGTGTGTGATCCAGGGGGATGGTTATTAGGGTAAGAATGTCTTGAAACTTGATCAACCAAGAGAGTGGTGTAGTCATTTGGCAAGTTTCAAAACAATAACTCAAGTAATGTTCCCAATAACAAGTCTCAAAGACGGATATAAGAAGATTGCGGTAGGTTGCCAGCCAACCTACAATTAAATCCTTCATATCATTTCCTTGGGCAGTCAATACAAGTTACGCATTTCATCAAACCCCAAGTATAGTGAAGACTTGGCAAGAATCAGCTAGGGCATATGCATTGAAGGAAACTGTGGCAGTCATAAAACAGAGGCCTTTATAAGCTAGTACAAACCTAGGTCAACTAGCTAAAAAGGAAACAAATAATTTACAGATCCTACATAGTCTGCATCTGTGAATGCCTCAAGTACTAGTCCTGAGTTTCTTCCGTACAGAATTTCTTTTCCTGGATTACCTTTTAGGTAGTGCAACACTCGATAGACTGCTTGTAAGTGCACTTCTTTAGGGTAATGAATGAACTGACCAATGACAAGTGGCATATGCTCTATCCGGTCGTATATGTGAGAGGTAGATAAGTCTTCCTATCAATCTTTGGTATCTATCCGTGATGCACCGACACGGACATATGTGTTCGACACGGTATGTGTCGGATACGTCGACACGCGATTTTTTAAAAAAGTACTGACACGAAACGTTGTCGACACGTTGATTAATTTTTTTGGAATTCTTCATTTATATAGCACAAATTTAATTTTATACTTGTTCTTAATTTTTTTTATTAAAATCTTTTAAATATGAGTACCTATTTATTATTTACTAATAAATTTAAGTTAAAAATATGTAATATTTTTTATAAAAAAGAAAAATATTTACGGTAGAGTGTTCGAGGAGTGTCAATATCAACACGTGTCGGATACGGACACGCAGCTCTAGTTGAAGTGTCCATGCGACAGAGGTATCCATCTTGGTCAACGGTAGTGTCTTCACTAGCTTCTCCCAATTTGTTGTTATGATCAAATGATGTGTCTGCAGGTTTGCATGCCAATTTTCCTGTTTCTTTCAACGGATCAACTACATCTGTTGCAAAATAAAAATACCATTCCTTGAGTGCGCCACTTCAATTCCTAGGAAGTATTTCAATCTTCCCAATTCTTTGATCTCGAATTTGTATACCAACTTTTGCCTTAGAATTTATTCCTCACGGTCATCATTCCCTATCACCACTATGTCATCAACATATGCTAAAAGGGCCGTAACTCCCCAAGTGTTTAATGAATAGTGTGTGATCTCCTTGACCTTAATCGTACCCATTAGATAGCAATACCTTCATGAATCTTCCAAACAAAGCTCTTGGTGACTGTCTAAGGCCATACAATGCCTTTTTCAGCTCGCACACTTTGTTGTTTTCTAATTTTCCTACAAATCCCGATTGAACTTCGATGTATATCTCTTCTTCCAAATCACCATAAAGAAAAGCGTTTTCACATCAAATTATTGCAGATCCCAATTAAAGTCAACTGCCAATGACAGTAATATCTTCACCGTATTCATCTTAGCAATGGGAGAAAAAGTTTCTTAATAATCCACCCTATAGATTCGAGTGTACCCGTTAGCTACCAATTTAGCTTTATACCTCTCAAGAGAACCATCAGCCTTATACTTCACCGTTAACACCCACTTGCTCCCGCATTCTTCCCTTTCGGCAAATCAAATAACTCCTATGTCTTTTTTTCTCTAAGGCTTCCATCTCTGTTCTCATTGCATTCTTCCACTTTTCAGTGGACAATGCCTTAGATAAGGTGTTGAGAATGGGAATAACGGTTAAGTTTACGAGGAAACTTTTGGGAGGGAGAAAATTTATCAAATGACACAAACTTAGCTATCGGGTAAAGTGGATGCTTGGTACATTCTCTGGTTCCTTTTCTAACAACAATAAAGTAGGTCATGATCATTGGTTGAAGGTTCGGATATTGATTGCCTATGATGCACTGACACGGACACGTGTGTCCGACACGATACGTGTCAAATACGCCGACATGCGATTTTTAAAAAAAATACAGTCACAACACGTCATCGACACGTTGATTAAATTCTTAAAAATTCTTCATTTATAGAGTATAAATTTAGTTTTATACTTTTTATT